CCACCCACTCAGGAACGGTCACCCCCCACCTAGGGACGGTTGCCCCACAGCAAGGGGAACCCCCACGTAACGCAGGGGTGGCCGCGCCCCCCCCAGGGGACGCTGCCCCCCCCCCGGGGACAGTCGCCCTCCCCCCCGGGGTGCTGTTCAGCTGCGCCTGCCGGGACGTGCTGGGCTGGGGGTTCGCCGAGGGGCGCCTTGAGATCTTCTATGGGGCGGGCGAGTGGCTGGGGCTGCGGCTGCCCCACGGCGCTGCCCCACAGGTGGTGGCCAGGCTCCAGGTGAGCGGGGCAGGGGGCAATGGGGGGGCAGGAATGGGGCAGGGATGGCGGGGCAAACTGGGGGGGAAAAAAGGGGGCAGTGGGGAGGGCAATGGGTCAGGCTCGGGGGGCGATGGGGGTACGGTAGGGCAGCGGTGGGGGACTATGGGGGTGTGCTGTGGGGCTCAGACAGGGCGGTTGCCCATAGGGTGCCCCATGGGGTCAGTGTTGGGGTTCCCATGGGCTGATACTGGGTCACCCCCCGGGGGTCCCTGAACCCCTCCCACTCGATGCCCCCCCGCAGGTGGTGATGCGGGGGTGCGAGGCGCGGGGGGCTCTGTCGGGGTCCCCGTGCCCTCCCTGACCCGGTGTGTCCCCCCCGCAGGCGGTAACGCGGGGGTGCGAGGCGCGGGAGCTGGCGCTGCCGCGGGGGGCCGGGGGCCGCCGGGGGTTCCGCGTGGACCCCTCGGGGGTCGTGACGGCCGTGACGCGGTTCTCCTTCGCCGAGACTGCGGGGCTGCGGCCCGGGACGCGGCTGCTGCGCGTGGGACACCGTCCCCTTCCCCGCGGGGACCCCCGGCTGCTGCGGGCGCTGCTGCGGCGCCCCTCGGGCCCCCTGACGCTGCTGCCTCCCGACCGCGACGGGCGGCCCCGGCGGTGCGTGCGGGGTCCTGCGGGGAATCGGTGGGGTGGGAAACAGGGGGGATTGGGGTTGGAAGGGTAATGGGGGGGGGGGCGGTGGGGGGAAATGGGAGGCATTTGGGGGAATAGAGGATGTGGGGGCAGCGAGGAGGATTGGGGATGTGGGAGGGCATGGGAGGAGTTGGGGGGCCTTTGGGGACAAAGGGGGGATTGGGGTTGGGAGGGAAATGGGGGAGCAGTGGGGGGCGGAATGGGGGGAATTGGGTGGCACGGGGGATCTTGGGGGGACATGGGGAGGGCAGGGACATGGGGGTCAAGTGGAACTGGGACCTGGACACCTCGGCGTGTCCTCACTCTCCCCCCACCATGTCCCCCTCACCTTTGCCCCCCAGGAGTTTCTTGGAGCTCTACGCCCGCTCACTGGAGCAGGGCCGGGGCACAGGGGGGGACCCCGGGATCGGGGACCTTGGAGGGGATATCGGGGACACCAGCAGCGACTCAGGGGGAGACAGCGACAGGGGGGATCATGGGGTGGGCCCAGGGGGGCTGCACCCCGACACCCTACAGCTCCTGCGCTCGCTGGCACTGGACGAGGAGAGCACCCCCTTTCCCCCTGAGGGTGGCCCCCCCAGCCCGAGGACCCTCAAGAGCCCGACCGGATGCCCCCCCAGCCCGTGAGTTACGCTGGACATGGGAAACCCCCCAAATCTTCTGGGATCCCCCAGTACCCCTGGAACGCATCTCCCAAGCCCCTGGGCCCCCCCCAAATCCCCCAGGAATCCCATGCCCTCCCATGAACCCTTCTAACCCTCACTCCTATGGCCCCCCAGGCCCCCCCTGGCTGACCCCACGCCTGACCTGTTGCTGCCGCACCACAGCCCCCCCCAGTCCGGTGACCCGGTGAGTCCCTTTGTCCCCCCCTGTTCCGCCCTGGCCCCCCATGCTCCGATGAGGCTGCTGACCCTACCACGTCCCCCGTCCCCCCCCGTGTGTCCCTGTGTGTCTCCCCCAGTCTCTCTGTGCCCCTGCTGACCCCCCCTGTCCTCAGGGTCCCTCTCTGGATGCTGGTGGTCCTGCGGCCCCCCCCGAGCCCAGCCCCCCCCCGGGCCCCTCGCTGCAGCACTCCCTGGGCAGGCGTGAGTGGCCGGAGCCCCTGTGTTCCCCGTGTCCCTCCCCTGTTTCACCTCACGTCCCATTCTGTGTCTCCCCTCCATTCCATGTCTCCTGGGGGTGTCCCTGTCCCACCGTGGGGGAGTGTCCCCCATCCCATATCCCATGTCCTACATCCTACGGGGGTGACCCCTGCCCCCTGGGGGCCCCCCATCTCCTTGAGGTGTCCCCAGCCCAGGTCCCCTTCACCTGGGGGTGTCCCCATCCCCTGGGGTGTCTCCCCTCATCCTCGGGGTGTCCCCTGTCCATATAGGTGTCCCCTGAGGGTATGCCCTGTCCCGTGGAGGGGGGTCCCCTGGGGGTCATCCCCCCACCACTTGGGTGTCCCTGTCCCCTGGGTGTCCCCATCCCATGGGGGATGTCCCTGTCCTATGCCCCCTGTGCTAGGGGAGTGTCCTGTGGGGTTGTCCCACATCCCCCGGAGGGGTCCCCTCCAGATCCCTGGGTGTCCCCCACTGTTGCCTCCCCCGCCAGTGCTGTTGGGGTCTGGGGAGCCCCAGGAGGAGGAGTGGGAGCTCATCGCCCGCCTGGCCACGGCCTGCAGTGGGGTCCTGGAGGCCATCGCCCGGGGGGGTGAGGGGGCCTTTGGGGGGGGGTTGGGAGGGCGGAGGGGATCCTGGAGGTCATTGCCTGGGAGGGGAGAGGGGGGTTTTGGGGGGCTGAGGGATCCTGGAAGCTGTTTCTTGGGGGTTAAGGGGTGTTTTGGATGGGAGGCAGATCTGGGAGAGCTTGGGGGTGGGGGGCTGAGAGGGTGAGGGGGTCTAGGGGTACCAGGGGGGAGGCTTGGGGGGTCTGGGAGCCTTGTGCAGATGGAGGGGATGGGGAGGTTGAGGGCGTTCTGTGGGGATGGGGGGTCAAGGGGGTGAGGGGATCTTGGGGGACTGTGGGGAGCTGAGGGAGTTGGGGGACTGGGGGTTGTGGGAATGGGAAGGATCGGGAAGGGGGGGATCTCAGTGGCTGTGGGAATGGGGAGGGTCAGGAAGGGGGAGGTCTCGGGGCTCCCCATGTAGGGGTCTTACATTTCCCCACTTCTCTCGCCAGGGCATCAGCTCCGAGAGCCCCCCAACATCGGGGTCCAGCAGAGCCTGAGCCCAGTGGTCCCTGAGGATGAGTATGAAGGGGGAGGCGGGGAGGAGTAGGGGGGGTGGAGGGGGTCCCCTCAGGGTCCAACACCCCCTCGTGCCCTCCCCAGGTCCCGGAGCCTCTCAGAGAAGGTGGCGCAACTGGAGGCGGCGCTGAAGCGGCTGCAGGAGGGTCTGCAGGAGGTGGGGGGCACTGGGGGGCACACTGGGAGGCCACTGGGAGGCACTGGTGGGGCTGGATGGGAACTGGGGTGCACTGGGGGGCACCAGAGGGACACTGCTGAAGGGACTGGGGGGCAGTTGGGAACACTGGAGGAGAAATGGGGAGTACTGGGAGTCACTGGGGGAACACCGGGAGAGAACTGGGGGAATGCTGAGGCAGTTGATCTATGGGTCTGTGTGGGGCAGGGGGCTGACCCGTGGCTCTGTGTGGGGCAGGGCCACGAAGTGCAGCAGCGGCTCCAGGCTGAGCTCCGGGGGCTCCGTCGCAGCACCCGGCGGCTGCAGCAGGGCCAGGAGGACGCGAACGCGCGGCTCAGCCGGGTCACGCGGCTGCTGCACCCCCCCAGGGACCCCCCTCGTCCCCTGACACCCCCCAACAGCCCCCGGGGGGGACCCCCTGACCTCTCCGGGGATCCCCTGACATCCCCCAACACCCCTTGAGACCCCCCCGGGGAGACCCTCTGACATCTGTGGGACTCCACAGGACTCCGGGACTGCGGCAGCCCCCTGGCACGGGGGCACCTGCACATGGCGTGGTCAGGTGGGCACAGTCACCTCGGGCACACTCACCTGGGCACTCACCATGAACACGCTGCACACATGTTGTGCACACTCACCCTGGGCCCGCTCGCTGTGGGCACACTCTCCCCCTGGGCACGCTCACCTGTGCACACTGACTGCAGTCCCATGCCATGAACACGCCGTGCACACGCATGTCCCGTGCACACCATCCCCGTGCCACACACGCTCGTAGCCGCGCGCACCGATCCCGGGGCCCCGCTCACACCTCGCTCACACTCGCCTGGCACGAGCCAATGGTGCCCGCTGCAGGCCGATGGTGTCCATCCCACACACGCTCACCCCCCCTTGCACACCCCCCCTTTGCACACTCACCCTGTGCACACTCACAGCCCCCCATCTGCCCCCACTAACTGTGAAACTGGAGCTGTGACTCCCTCCCATGTCCCCCCGGTGTGACACTGGACCCTACACGTGTCCCTCCGTGTCCCCTCCATGTGACACTGGACCCCCCTGCCCCATCCCCCTGGGACACTCCCCTGGCCTCATCTCCCCTCAGGGGACACTGGAAACCGTCCCAAAGGGGATGTGCTGGGGCCACACTGATCCCCCCAACAATAAAATCCTTTGGCCTCAGCAGCCCCGGCCCGTGATTGGGGGGGTTGAGGGGGAGAGGGGGCAGCATCCCTAGTTCTGCCAGCTCTGTCCCCTTCCCAGGGATCCTGTGGACTGACCCCGGGAAGCACCAGACCCCCATCCCATGAGAACACCGTGTGCTGGGAGTGCAATGAGGGTGACTTGGGGGGGGGCTCCCAGGTCCTGCCCCAGCTGGTGGGATGGGGTGTGGGGGGATAGGACAGGGATATCCCCAGATGAGAGACCCCAATGTCCTCGCCCTGTGGCCCTGGTGGGTGTCATGGCAGGGGGGGACAGCCCAACGTCTGGACCCTGTGGCTCCTCCCCACCACGACTTCCTCTGCGGTGGGTGGCAGTGGTGTGGGGTGAACCCGGGTGTCCAGGGTGCTGTGGAGAAGGAAGTGGGATGGGACGTGGGGCGGGACGTGGGGCAGGAACATTCTGGACACCATTGGGAAGGGACGGAGTGATGGCAGGGCTGAAGACGGCGAGTGGGGAGGACATTGATGGCTCCTTCGAGCTGCAGGTGGAGGTGGAGGAGGGAGGTGCCATGGGGCAGGGAGATGCCACAGGGCAGGGAGATGCTGTGGGGCAGCCCAGCCCCCCAGCAGCTCTCTGCATCCTTGCCCTCCGTGTCACCGGGGACCTGCACATTGGTGGCCTCATGCGCCTCATCGTGGAGACCATTGGTGAGTGACCTGTAGCCCTGACCTCTGGCCAGACCCACAGCTGGGACCCACAGCCCTGCCCCCCAGTTGTGCCCCACAGTGGCAGGAGGCTGGACCCTGGCGTCCAGGCCCCCCAGCTCCAGGCCCCATAGGAAAGGGCTGTAGGGGCATCCAGCCCCCCCGAAGTGCCATGTGGTTGAGAGAGGATGTTGGGGGAGGATCCAGCCTGGGGATACTGAGCCCTTATCGAGGGGTCCCAGCGTCCCCCTACTTCCCAGTTCCCCTCCCCAGGTCCTCCCCGGCCAGGGCGATAAGGGACCCATGGGCTATAAATAGCTCCAAGGGTGGCTCCCCCCCGGGCCCCATGGCCTCCTGAGCCCCCCCGATGTGCTTTGGGGGTACAGTGGGACCCCTATAGACCTCACAGCACCCCACAACTCTCCCATAACCCCTACTTAGTAACCCCTAACCCCACGCCAGTTCCTCACAGCCTCCTATAGCATCCCCATAGCCCCCCATAGCTCCCCACAGCCTCTGACAGCCCCCATTAGAGCCCTATTACCCCCCATTGCCCTATTACAGGCCCCCTGTAGCCCCTCCGACGTGGTTTGGGGGTACAGCAGGACCTCCCGTAGCCCCCTTTAGCACCCTCTAACCCTCCTGCAGTCCCTCACGGCCCTCCCCCTGCCAGGGCACCCCGCCGCCCCCCCCCAGCCCTGTCGAACCCCCCCAGCCTCCCCTGACGCCCTTTCCTCCAGGGGAGGCCCGGGACTGGTCGGACCACGCGCTGTGGTGGGTGCAGCAGCGGCGGTGGCTGCTGCCCCCCGGGCCCCCCCTGGACGCGCTGGGTGTCGGGGGGGGCTCCCGGCTCCGCTTCGTCCCCCGGCACCGCCCGCTGCGGCTGCGGCTCCCGGGCGGGCGCGTCCTGCGGCTGCAGCTCGACTTCGCCAGGACCCCCGGGCGGGGGGTGGCACGGGCCTGCGCTCTGCTCGGTGTGTCCAGGGGCTCCGGGAGCGCTGGGGAGGGGCTGGGGGAAATGGGGGGGGGCGTTGGAGGGGTTTGAAGGGTGATTGGGGCGTCTGGGGGGGCTTTTGGGGGTCTGGGAGGGCCAGAGTGGTCTGGGCAACGATGGAGTGGAGTTGGGGGGGATGAAGGGGTCTGGGGGGTCCCGGGGGAATCTCGGGGGGGAACTGAGGCGTGCCGAGAGGTCTCGGGGAGTCCCGGAGGGCACTGGGGGGGTCCCGGGAAGGTGCCGGGGGTCCCACTGTGCGCGGGGGGGGTCGCAGGGATCCGAAACCCCGAGGAACTTTCGCTGCTGCGTCCGGAGGAAGAGCGGGGAGGGGAGGGGCGGAAGGGCCGCGCCCCCGCCCAGGCCCCCCCCGACCTGGACCTGACGCACCTGCGGCCAAGGGCAGGTGAGCGGAGGGGGGGGAGCGGTGGGAGGCCGGGGGGGGCCGGATCCCCCCGCGTCCTTCCCACCCCCCCCGACCTCCTGTCCCCCCCCCCAGATGAGGCCCCTCCCCCTGCGCTGCCCCCCGAGCAGCTCCGGGTTCTGGTGACCCCCCGGGGGGGGAGGGACCCCCCGACCTCCCCCCGGACCGGGCGCGGGAACCTCCTCCTGCGGCGCGCGCAGCTGCACGCGCGGTGAGGGGCGGGGCCGCGGGGGGTGGGGCCTGGTGGGCGGGGCTTGAATGGGGCGGGATTCGGTGGTTGGGGAGGGGTTAGACGTGTGGGCGGGGCTTACAGGCGGGGGCGGGGCGGGATTGGGGTTGTTGGGTGGGGCGGGGGGCGAAGCTTAGGGTGGGTGAGGGGCGGGACACGACTTGGTGGGGTGGGGTTTGCTCGGGTGTGGTTGGGCGGGGTTTGTGGGCGGGGATGAGGGTTATGGGCGGTGCTCGGGCGGGGTTTGTGGGCGGGATCGAGCGCGCAGGACCCCCCCCAACCCACGCCCCCCCTTCCCCGCAGGTGGCTGGACGCCTCGCGGTCCCTGATGGAACAGGACGTGGGGGACGACGAGGAGCTGCTGCTGCGCTTCAAGTACCCCTGTGCCATGGGGCTGGACCCCCAGGTACCCTCCAACCCCCCCTGGTGACCCCTAAACCCCCCCAGGGACCCCCAACCCTCCCATGTCACTTCCCAAGCACCCCTCAGGAGGGGGTTAGGGAGTCCCTGTGGGTCCCTGCTGGGGTTTTGGGGGTCCCTGGGGGTTAAAGCCCCCCTGGGTGCCCCCCCGTGCCCCAGCACTGTGCTGCCCCAGGAGGGCGGGCTGCGCATTGCGCTGCTGCAGGAGCAGGCACGCGGGGCCCTCCTGGCCGAGGAGATCGACTGTACCGAGGAGGAGATGCTGCTCTTTGCTGCCCTCCAGGTACCCCAGAACATCCCTGGACAATCTGGCACCCCACCGAACCCATCCCCTGATCCTCTGCGACCCTCCTCAAAACCCCTGTACCCCAAAACCCACCCCAGATTCCCTGGGACCCCCAAGAACCCTCCAGACTCACCCAAACCTTCCTGGACATCCCGGAGCCCCAAACACCTCTGGACCCCTCAGTCTCCCCTTGACCCCTCTGAGACCCCCCTTAATTGTCCTGACCCCTCTGTGACCCCTCCAATTATCCTGACCCCCCATGACCCCCTCCAACCCCCAGTACCAGATAGATGGGGCAGAGGGGGGTGATGGGGACCCCAAGGGCCCCCTCGAGCCCCAGGACCTGGACACAGCCCTGGACAAACTGGAGCTGAGCCTGGAGGGGCAAAGGACCACCGTCCTGCCAGTGAGACTGGGGGCACTGGGGGGCACTGGGAGGTACTGGGGGGTGTTTGGGGAGGACCCAGGGGCGCTGGGAGGGACTGGGAGGGGCTTGGGGGGACTGGGGAACACTGGGATGGATATGGAAGGCCCTGAGGAGCACTGGGTGGTACTGAGGGCCTCTTCTGGCCACGCTGGGAGGACTGGGGGGCACTGCGGGGGGGGGAGGGGTAAGAACTGGTGGGGGCTGCGGTGGGGGGCACTGGGGGAGGCACTGGGAGTCACTGGGGATTACTGAGGTCTGGGGGAGTCCCCAGGAGGAGCTTGGAGCTGCCCCTGAGCTGGTGGAGGAGCTGGAGATCTACAGGTACCCCCACAAGCCCCAAACCCCTCGCCTGACCCCAGAATTGGGGTTCCCCCAGGCCCTCCTCCTGGCCATTCTGGGGGTCTCTCTTGACCCCCCCCAACCCCCAAACTCGGGGGATCCCCAGGTCCTCCCGCTGGCCGTTCTGGGGTTCCCGACCTGCCCGGGCCGTGCTCTCGGGCTCATCACTGTCACTCTGGAGCCTCCCGAGATCGGGGGGGCCCCCACAGCAGCTCAACCTCCGCGGTGAGACCTCAAACCCCCCCTGGGCCCCCAGACTCCCTCTGGCACTCACAGATTACCCTGGGACCTTCCCACAAGAACCCCCCCCGACCCCCAAATCCCCTGGGACCTCCCCATTCCCCCCATATGGGCCTCCTAAGACTCCCCTGGGACCACTGGGGCCACCCCCCAGGACTCCCAGGTTCCCCCCAGACCCTCCTGAGACAAGGCCAACTCCCCTCCTTGGTTCCCCCAGGGGCCTGAAATACCCCCTCAAGAACCCCCCATCTCCCTCTGGGACCCCACCAGGGCTCACAGATTCTCCCCCAGACACCCCTGGGACACCCCCAGCTCCCTCCTGAGTTGCCAACATTCCCTTTGGAAACACCCCCATCTCCTCCCAGGACCCCTCTGGGCCTCCCTTAGAGTCCCAAAGCCTCCCCAGACCCCTCTAGGATGCCCTGAACTCCCCTCCTGGGCTGCACCCAGGCCTGCCTGACCCCCCATCCCCCCAGGCTGCGAGGTGACCCCTGACGTGGATTTGGGGGCGCAGAAGTTTTACATCAAACTGCGGCTGCCGACACCGGAGGGGATGAGCGAGACCCTCCTGCGCTGCCGTGATGTGGGTGGGAGGGCAGGATGGGGGGGCACTGAGGGCTCTGGGAGACCACAGGGACTATGGGAGGGCCCCACTGGGAAACGGGAGGAACGGGACGGGGGAGTTCAGGGAGTCCTGGAGCGTTTGAGGGCAGCTGGGGGGGGTCTCATGGTGATTTGAGGGTCCTTGGGGGCTCGGGGGGGGGAGGGTTAGAGGAGTCCTGGGGTTTTGGGGGGGGGTGTCTCAGAGGGGCTCTTGGGGGGATATGAGGTCTCAGGGGGTTTTTTTTGCATTCTCAGGGGTTTTGATGGGTCCCAAGGGGGTTTGGGGGTCCTGGAGGGCTCAAGGGGTCCCGGGAGAGTTCTGGGGGGTTTGAGGGAGTTCGAGGGGTCCTGGGGGAGTTCTGCAGGGGTCTTTGAGGAGTCTCAGAGAGCTGGTGTGATACTCCCACCCCCCAGGCCCCCCAGCATGCCCGTTGGGTCGCCGGGTGCCGCTTGGCCTCGCGTGGGGGGTCCCTGTCGGCCACATCGCTCGGGGCGGAGGCTCAGGGGGTCCTGGGGGTCCAGCCAGGGAGGGAAGACCCCACTGTGCCTCCCTGGGCCCTCTCACGCCCACCCCCAGATCCACAGCAGCTGTTGCCCCCCCGCTTCCAGCGCAAGTTCAAGGCCAAGCAGGTACTGGGCCCTCCCATCCCTGTACAGCGGCTGCTGTGCCCCCAGTCCCTGGGGCGCCCCCAGTCCCCCCACTCTCCCCTCCCTCACAATGGCCCCCCCAGCTCACCCCCCGGCTGCTGGAGGTTCTGCACCGTGTGGGGACACTGACCCCAGGCCAGGCCCGGCTGCGCTTCGTGGAGGCCTGGAGGGCCCTGCCAGGGTTCGGGCTGGGGCACTTCGTGGTGAGGTACTGGGGGCACTGGGAGGGAGGGCTGCCACACTTTGAGGTGCTGGACACTGGGAGCACTGGGGAGGTCCCCGGAGTTCCAGGGGTTCCATGTGTTCTGGGGGGGGTCTCACAGGTTCCAGGGTGCCAGGCGTGATGAGATTTTGGCTGTGGGCCCCTCGCAGCTGCTCCGGATCGATCCTGGCTCTGGCGCCGTCACCCGCAGCTGGAGGCACAGTGACCTGCGCCAGTGGGACGTCAACTGGGACAGCCAGCAGGTACTGAGGACTGGAGGGGAGCGGGAAGCACTGAAGTGGACTGGCTCTCACCCCCAGCCCTTTTCCCCAGGTGCGGCTGTGGCTGACCGGGGACGTGACGCTGGGGCTGCGGGTGCTCTCGGCAGCCCCCCGGCTGCTGCACCAGTTCCTGGGGGGGTATCTGGTACTAGGGGGGCAGCGGCCAGGGCAGCCCCCAGACCCTGATGTGCTGAGGCGCCTGATGGAAGGGGGGGATGACCCCTGACGCCCCCAAAGCCCCATGCAAGAGTGGCCTCATGCAAATATCCCCATCCCACTGTTGGCACCAGCCTCAACTCCCCCAGTCCCTGTTCCTCCCACAGCACTTGTGCACCCTCCCTCCCTTCCTCCTGCTGTGCAAGGCACTTGTGCAAAGCTCGTGCAACACTGGTGTGATGGAGCTGAACGTGCTTACTGTGCTCAGCAGAATGGTGGTGGCTGTTGGGCCTCGCAGGCAAGGGGGTCACAGCCCGTCCTCGTGGCAGGGGCTCTCACTCTCCTTGTGCAAAAGGTTTGGATGCCCCAGTCCTCATGGAAGAGGGTCACAAACCATCCTCGTGTGACAAGGCCACAACTCTGTCCTCATGTGAGGGGTCTGGACCCCCACAATCCTCAGGGGCTCTCATCTCACTGTCCTTGTGCAATGGGATCCCACTGCCCCTCCTGGACTCCCTAGACCCCCAAATCACCCCAGGGCACCAACTCTCCTCCTGGGCTCCCCCCCCGGTTTCCCCTCTCATTTCCCACCCTCCAGGAGACCCCCAGCCCCCTCCCCTCCTCCCCAGCCCCCCAAGGCTGGGCCACTGCTCCGCTCTTTATTTGGGGTCACAGCACCCCAGAACCAACACAGGATGGGGGGAGGGAGGGGCAGCACCCCCTGCCTCCCCTGGGGGGTCGAGGTGTACCCGGGGGGGGTCCCAGAGGGGTCCCCGGGATTTGGGGGGGTCACCGGATGGCAATGAGCCCCACATCCATTAGCTTCTGGATCTTCTGGGCGATGAGAGGGTTCTTGAGGTGCCTGGGGGGAAACCGGGGAATCAGCATGGGCACAGGGGGGACCCAAGGATGGGCGGGGATGCCTGGGACCCCCCTCGGAACACCCCTCCACATCTTGGGGACACCCACTGACACACCTGGGGACGTGCTAGGCAACCCTGGGCAACCTCATGGAGACTCAGTGAGCTGTGAGAGATGGGCAATGACACCCCATCAGACCTTGGGGACCTCCAGGACGACCTCAGAGAGAGTTGGGGACCCCCCCCACAGCTGCAGAGGGCTTGGTGTGGCTCCTTCAAGGCTCAGTGAACACCATAGGGTGGCTCTAACATCCCAGAAAATTCCCCCGGGACTCACTCGCTGAGGGCCTGGGGGTCCTTCTGCATCTGCTCGAGGATGAGGCGCATGGCCGGGTCCCCCATGATCTGCTGCACCTCGGGGTCGGCGAGCGCCCGGCGCCGCAGCTCCTCGGGGGGCTCCGAGCGCTGCTGCTGCGCCCGCAGGCACCGCCGCTGCCCCTCCGCCGCCTCCTGGGGACACACGGGCGGGTCACAGGGGGCTGGGACCCCAGGCAGCGCTGCCCCACCTCCTGGGGGGCAGGGTGGGGGGCACAGAGATCAGGGGGCTTGGTTCACAGGGGATGCTCTAACCCCAGGCAGTGCCACTGCCCCTCCACTGCCTCCTGAGGGTGACAGGGATCACCGAGGGGCACACGCGGGGGGTCACAGCAGTCAGGGGCGGTAGTGCCAGGTAGTGCCACTGCCACTGTGCTGCCTCCTGGGGATTACAGGGGGCTGGGGGGCCACGGGAGTCACAAATTGCTGTATTCTCAGGTCCTGCAGTGCCACTGGGGGGCCCGGGTAAGCAGGGGCTCAGGGGTGGTCACAGGGGTCAGCAGGGGCTCAGGGGGTTGCGGGCTCACCTTGCAAGTGGGGTCGAGGTCCAGGGCACGCTGATAAACCTCCATGGCCTTGGTGTAGTCGCGCATGGCCTCGAGCGCCGCCGCCTTCCGCGTGTAGCCCTTGACTGGGTGGGGGCGATGCACACAGGTACAGGTGAGAGGGGAAAATGTGGGTACAGGGGAGGGATGGACACAGACACAGGGGAAGGAAGGAGAAAGGAGTACAGGGACAGGTAGAGATGGCTGAAGGCAAAGCCTAGCCCCTCCAGGGCCCCCCCGCATTCCCCACTCACTGAAGGTGGGCTCCAGGCGAATGCACTCCTCACAGTCCTGTGGGAACAAGCAGATTCAGAGGCATCTCAAAAGCCCCAAACTGACCCCTATACCCTCAGACCAGCCCCAGGACCCCTCCTACCCCCCCAAGCCAGCCTCCAGGCCCTCAATTCAGCCCCCCTGCACCCCCGGCCCTGTACCTTGAGGGCGAGGGGGAACTCGAGCAGTTTGGTGTAGCAGGCGGCACGGTTGCTGTAGAGCCGGGCCTCGTTCGGGTTGCGTCGGATTGCCTCGCTGTAGTGCCGCATGGCCTGGGGGTAATCCCCTAAAACGGGACCCCCCCCCGCCTGCTGTCAGGGGGTGCCCCCAGATGCAGGGCAGGGCCCCCCCAGCCCACCACAGCGCCCCCCCACCTCGCTGGAAGCACTCGTTGCCCTTGTTCTTTTCCTCCAGCGCCAGGTCGGGGTCAATGTAGGCCAAGCGCTCCTGCTCCTTCAGGATCTTCTCAGCCTGTGGCAGCAATTAGGGGGTTCGGGGGGGCCCCAGGAGGGCTGCCCTCCCTCCCTCCACACCCCCCACGTCACCTGCTGACACTTCTTGAGCACATCGGGCGTGCGGTGCTCAGCCAGGGACTTGTTGTAGAAGTGGACGGCGTCCTTGTACCGCTCCTCGCGCAGGTAGGAATTCCCGATCCGTGCGTACGCCCTGGGGGAAATGGGGGGTCAGGGGGCGATTTGGGGGGAACCAGAGAGGATACCCCTGGTTCCAAACCTCCCAACTCACTTGGCGATCTGCCGGTAATCCTCCCGGTTCTCCCGTCCCAGCTCGATGGCGCGTTCACACAGTGCCCGGCACCGCTCGTAGTCACCCGTCTCAAAGTACACGGCTGCGTTTGAGGGCAAGTTTGGGGCTTCAGGGGGGTTTTGGGGTTTGGGAGGTGCTCAGGGGGGATTGAGGGGTCACGCACCCGCCTGGTTGGTGACGTAGGTCATATTGGTGGGGTCTAGCTGTTCGGCTCGGGTGTAGTGTTCCAGCGCTGCCGGGAACTCCTTCCGCTTGTAGGCGGCATTGCCCAGCTCCTTCTCCCGCTGTGCCTGATGGAGGGGGGGTCACCCTAAAACTGGCTGGGACCCCCCAAACCCTAAAAGCTGCTGCCCAGACCCCCAAAACCTGGCCAGCTCCTGCTCCCGCTGAGCCTGGGGGGGGTGTCGCCCCAAAACTGGCTGTGACCCCCTCCCGAACCCCAAAACCCGCTCACCCGTCACCCAGCTTCTTCTCCTGCTGTCCCTGATGGGGTAGATCATGTCAAAACTGGCTTGGACCCCTCCAAAGGTTGGCCAGCCCCTCTATCATCCCGCTGCTTCCCCTGCTGCACCTTCTACAGGGACATCACCCCAAAACTGGCAGGAAGCCCTCATCCCCAAACTTGGTTGAAACCCTCCCTGAATCCCAACTCCTCCCCCGGCCCCACAAAACCTGCTCCTAAATCCCCTAACCCTAACCCCAGCACCCACAAACCTGCCTTACAGCCCCCCTGAACTCTCCTCAGCTGCCCCGAACCTGCCCACCCGCCTTGTCTATCATGCTGCTCTTTAGGTGTGCAGGGGGGCTGTGTGTCCTCAAAACACCTCCCTCCCCTCCTTACGGGTTTCCCCTCACCTCCTGCTTGTTCTGGGGGAGCTCCTGGGGTGGTGGGGGCTGGGCAGGGGGCGGGGGGGGTGGGGGTGGAGGGGAGGGGGCCTCCTCTTCCTCCTCGGCCCCGCTCAGCTCCACCCCCAGCAGCACACTCAGCGTCGTCATCACCCGGGGGTCCTGCAGCTTCCTGGCGGGAGGGGCAGGGGCGCGTGGGGAAGTGCCCCAAAATCCACATCCCGATATCCACCGGGGGGGCTGCATCCCGAAATCCGCACCCCGACATCCCCCAAGGGGGCTGCACCCCAAAATCTGCACCCTGGCCCCCACCCTGGGGGTCCCGCACCTTCTGGGGGGGCAGGGGAACATTGAAGGGGGCGTCCAGAAATCCACACCCCGACACACCGTGGGGGGGCAGCACCCCAAAACCTGCACCCTGACCCCCACCCAGGGGGCCTGCTGCTTCCCTGAGCTCCCCAAAATCAGCTAACACCCCCCAGGCTCCCAAATTCAGCCCTACGTGCCCTCCCAGTCCTACCCCAAAGCCACCCCAAACCCCTTCCTAGCCCCCCCCCAGTCCTCCAGAGCCCCCTCCCAGCCCACCCTGGCCCCGCAAGGCCCATTCCCAGCCCACCCAGGCCCCCCGAGGCCCATTCCCAGCCCCCCAGGGCCCCCTGAGGCCCAGCACTGACGCCCCGAGCTGCCCCGGGTCGCTGCGCAGCGTCTCCAGCAGTCGCCGGTACTCGGGGTCCCCCAGCAGCGCCCGCGTCCGGGGGTCCCCCTCAAGTCGTGCCAGCAGGTCAGGAGCACTGAAGGGGTTCAGCAGCTTCCGCTCTGAAATTAGGTCAAGGACCTTTGCAGGGACCCCAAGTAACCTTCCTAGGACCCCCAGTCCCACTCTGAGAACCCCAAAAACTCCCCACATCCCCTCCCAGGGACCTCAGAGCCACCCAAAGCCTCTCACAGGGACCCCCAAACCTGCTCTGGGACCCGCAAGCAGCCTCCCCAGCCACTCCTCCGCTCCCTGCAACCCCTCCAGCCCCGTGTCAGCCCACCCCTTCCCAGGCCCAAACCCCCCAACGCCTCTCAGGCCACCCTCAGAGCCCCGCCGAGCCCCCCGTACCTGCCAGCCGTGTCTCCACCCCGCGCAGGCCCTGCAGCAGCTGCTCATTCCCGGGGTCCCGTGCCAGCCCCTCCTCATAGGTGGCCTTGGCCTCCTCCAGGCGCTGCAGGAACTCCAGTGCTGCTGCCTTCCGTGAGTACCCCTGGAAAGGGGAGCAAAGAGGGACCCCGGGGTCAGACCTCCCCCCCCGGAAAAGGGGAGCAAAGGGGGACCCTTGGGTCAGACCCCCCAGGGGAACCCTGACCCCTGCCACAGTGGAGACCCTTATGCCCCACCATCAACGACTACCCTTGGGGGACAGGCAGGGGTGACCCCTATGGTCAGACCCCCTGAGCCCCCCAGGGGCAGAGCTCCCAGGGTCCCCCCAGCACCCCCCCACCTTGGCCCAGTCGGGGCGCAGCTCCAGCGTGCGGCAGGCGTCGGCCAGGGCACGGGTGTAGTCCCCGAGCCGCGCGTAGGCGGCCGAGCGGTTGCTGAACAGGACGTGGTTGTTGGGGTCCCGCGCGATGGCGGCCGAGTAGTGCCCCACGGCTGCCCCCACGTCCCCCGCCGCCAGCGCCCGGTTTCCCCGCTCCTTCAGCTCCTGAGCCTGCGGGACACGGAGGGAAGGCACGGACCGCGGGGAACGGGACAGCGCGAGGAAGAGGAGAAGGGAGACGAGGAAGGAGAAGGGAAGGGCGTAAGGAAGAATATGAAGGAGACGAGGGGGAAGAAAAGGAGGGCAGAGGGGCAGGCAAGAGAAAAGCAAAGGGAGCAGCAAGGTGCGAGAAAGACAAGGAGGATGAAGGGGTGAGAGAGGAGAAGAGGCACGAGGAGGAAGAAAAGCGAGAGAACCAAGAAGGGACGAGGAAGAAGAGGGGCGTGAGGAAGGTGGAAAGATGAAGGAAAGTAAAGGACAGATGGAGAGGTAGGAAGAGAAACAGAAGAACGTGAAGATAGAGCCGGGGCCCCGGGCCCCCAAACAACGGGACACCACCCTCCAGCCCCTCCCCGCCTCCTCAAGGACCCCGAAACCCCCCGGAAACTCCCTTTGCCCTCAGCTCCCCCTAGGCCCCGCTCGCCACCCTCCCGGGACACCTCAAGGACCCCCAGACAGCGTGAAACCGCTCCGAGCCCCTGAGGGCTCCCCGATCCCTCTCGGAGCGCCCCGACCCCGGTCGGGGCCTTTAATCCCCTCAGGGACCCCCAGGGCCTCCCGGCCCTCCCCAGGGTCCCCCGGCTCTCCTCAGGCCCCCTCCCCAGGATCCCCCAGACCCAGACCCAACCCTGGGACCCCCTGGCACGCCCGGCAGGTTCCTCCGCCTGCCTCTGGGACTCCCAGGACCCTCCGGACCCTCTCGTCCCCCCCCAAACCTCCTCCATGGCCGCAACTCCTCTCGCGCCGCTCCCGCGCCGCCCTCTGGAAGCTGCTAGAAACCCTCGGCCCCACCCCTCGCGCCCCATTGGCCGTCGGTCCCGCCCGCCCGCCCCCGCGCGCGCTCCAATTGGCCGCCGCCCGCGCTTCCGCCTTCCCATTGACCACCGGGAGAAATGGTGCCCGCCCCCCTCCGGACCCGCCCCCGCCGGAAGCCTGCAGCGGGTCCCGCCCCCCCCGCTCCCATTGGCCGCGGCGCCCAGCACCGAATGCCCATTGGCCGCGCCCCGCGCTCCCTTCTGGAATTTTCCACTCTCCATTGGCTGCGAGTGACGCCTATCAGGGGGGAGGGTGTGGGTGGGCGGAGGCGGGAGTGCTCCCCCTGGCGGCGCGGAGGTCTGGCTGCCGAACGTGTCTCCTGGGGGGAGCGAGGGGCGGGGTTTGCACGGGGGCGGGGCTTGCACGCGATTCCCACCCCCCCACGCCCCCCGGAGGCCAAGGGGAGTCACGTGGGTGGAGGCAGGTGGTCCCTGGTGGTGGGAAGGGGGGTGTTGAGTGACACACGCGTGACCTTGACAGGACCCAGGCATGATCCCCCTCCCCTGACACAACCCCCCCCAGCCCTCGTGCAAGGTCTCATACCCCCCCCAAACTCCCCATTGCTCGTCCTACCCCAGGGTATCCCTGTGTCACCGCCCCCTCATTACTCTCAGTGACCCCCTATGACCATCCCCCAACCGTGCCCCTTCCTGCAAGACCCCTTGTGTGAACGCCCCCGGGTGACAGCTCCCCACCCCATCCCACGGGAAAGAGGCACTGGCAGGAAAAGGAGCCGCTGGGTTTATTTGGGGGTCAGGGTTCCCCTCGGCCCTTTTGGGTCGATTTTTCCTGATTTTGGTCCTTTTTCCCCAAATCCAACAGCAGGGGCAGGGGGAGGGGTGAAGGCACCTCGCGGGGGGAAGGGAGGGGGCACAGACCCGGGGGGGGGGGCAGCAGGGGACCACCCTGACCCCGAGTCCCGTCTGCCTTCACCCCCCAGGCTCTGTCCAGGCCTGGGGTCCTCCTGGAGGTCCTGGAGGGATCGAGGCTGTCAGGTCCGTCCCTCTCCCCAATCCTGTTCCTGCACCAAATCTGCCGTTTTTCCCCCAAAAAAGCCGCGGTGCCGAAAAAACACCTTAAAAAAGCCAAAATGCCCCAAAAGGGAAGCGGGGGAGGTGCAGGGCGACCCCTCTCCTCAACTCCCCGGCGGGTCCCCCCAAATGTCCTCAGAGCAGGGGCAAGCGGCCACAGCCCCAGAGGGGTCCCCAACACGTGGGGTTTCCCAGGAAGAGGGACCCCCCCATCAGGACCCCCCATCCCCTTCCCCACCGCCATGGGGCACCTGCCCCCCCCGGTACCCCCGAGCGCCGGGGAGGGGCAGCGGGGGCGGCGGAGGGGGGTACACGGTGCGTATTCCGCCCTCGTCGGGGGCCCGCAGGGGCCGCAGCGGCAGCCGCCCCGCTCTGCTGATTTTAGGGGGCGGGGGGGGCGCCCCTCCTCGCCCCCCCCGCCTCCTCCTCCTCCTCCACCACCCTCCCAGCACCCCCAGGATCACCCCGGCGGCCGCCGCCGCCGACGCCCCCAGAGCCGCGGCCGGGGGGAGCGCGGTGGGGGTGTCCCCGGCTGGTGCACCGGGAGAACCGGGAGGGGAGTCCCCGGCCCCGGCGCGGGCCTGTGTGCAGAGTGGGGGGGCGGCGGGGGGCTCGAGGGCCGCGAGGCACACGCGGTACGGGGCACGGGGCTGCAGCGCCCGCACCACGTACTCTCCCCGCTCCCCCCGCACCAGTGTCTCAGTTACGGCCCCCCCCCCGGGCCGCAGCCAGCTCAGCCGCAGGGACGCGCCGGGGGGGGCCGGTGGCCACCGCACCCGCAGGGCCCCCCCCGGCGCCGCCTGCACCCACAGCCCCGGCGTGGCCGCGGCCCCCGGCGAGGCGGCCACGGCGCCGTTGGAAGCCGCTGGGGACACGGCTGCGATGCCGGGGGAAGCCCCCCCGGCCCCTGCGGCGGGGCTGTCGCAGGCGTCCATCTCCCCCTGCAGCTCGCCCACCGGCAGCCCCCGCAGCCGCGCGGGTGCCTGGCACAGCAGCCCGCGCACCTCGAGGCGCGGCGGCGCCCGCCGGCGCAGCCAGTCCCGCAGCCAGGCCAGGTTGCAGCCGCAGAACCAGGGGTTGTTGCGCAGCCCCAGGTGGCTCAGGCTGCCCAGGTCATCAAAGAGCCCCCGTGGCAGCGTCGTCAGGTTGTTGTCCGACAGGTCCAGTCGCTCCAGTGCCCTCATCCGTGCCAGTGCACCGGCTGGCACGTGGCTGATGGCGTTGGCGGCCAGCGAGAGCCGGCGCAGCCGCGCGCGGGGCAAGTTGGCCGGCGGGGCCGCGAGCGCGTTGCGGCCCAGCGAGAGCTCGCTCAGGTTGCCCAGGCGGCTGAAGGTGTCGTCGGCCATGCGCTGGTTGGCCAGCAGGTTCCCGTCCAGCACCAGGCGCCGCAGCGCCGGCAGCCCCTCGAAGGCGCGCAGCGGGATGGTGTGGATGCGGTTGTCGTCCAGGCGCAGCTCCTCCAGCGCCGGCGGCAGCCCGGCCGGCACGCTGCTCAGGTGGTTGCGTGAGAGGAAGAGGAGACGCAGGCGGCGGTTCTCAGCGAAGGCGTCCTCCTCGATGCCGGCTGCCGACACCGAGTTGTCATCCAGGTGCAGGCGCTCAAGCAGCGGTGCCCGCGCCAGCGCCCGCCGGCACAGCCCGCGCACGTTGTTCTCCTGCAGATGCAGCTCCCGCAGCGCCGGCGGCAGGTGTGCCGGCAGCTGCTCCAGCGCGTTGGCGTACAGGTAGAGCACGCGCAGGGCCGGCAGCCGGCCCAGCCGCGCTGGGATCCCCGCGTCACCGATCCGGTTGTTCTGCAGGAACAGGGTGGTGGCGCCGGGCGGGAGCCCCTCAGGCACGGCCGTCAGCCCCCGGTCGTTGCAGTAGACGCGGCCACCGGCGCAGCGGCACACGGCGGGACAGGCCGCGACAGCCGCGATGGCGACGAGGACGACAGCGGTGACGGCAGTCAGGCGCCGGGGCGGCCCCCCCCGCGGCGCCCAGGGCGGGGGAGGGAGGTGGAGGAGGGGGGAAGGGGGGGCCATGGGTGAGGGGGTGGTCCTGTGGGTTGGGGGGAGGTGTCAGGACAGTGGGATGGGGATGCACCCTGGAGGACCTGGGTGCTGTGACCCAGCCCCACGCTGATCCCATATATAGGGCAGGTGCCCCTGCCTCAGCACCCCTTTATCCCAGGGGACCCAGAATGCCCACCCTGACCCCATAGAAAGGGCAGGGACACCCCTCTCTCCCATTATTGGGCACCTCCTCAGCACTATAGTTTGCAGACCCCTTCAAGCCCATCCCCTTTAGGAGATTCCCCTGACCCCATATCCAGAGTAGGGACCCCCCAGGCCCCCACCGTCATAGGGGGGCCCAGGCGTCCAGGTGTGGTGGGGTAGGGCCCTACCTGGGTCCACCTCGGTCCTCGTGCAACGGTTGTCCCCGTGCGATGGGTCCTCATGCGAGGTCAAGGCTACGGGTGCCAGTTCTCCATGGGCCCCCCCCCCCGCCGGGGGGGCCGCTTTCGATGGGGAGGGAGTGTGAGCCAGGGGGTCCTCATGTGACAGCCCCCCTCGTGCAAAACCTGCCAGGACCCAGGTGTCTGGGCTCCCTCGGGTGCCAATTACCAGCGTTGCTAATGAACCCCCCCCTCATTAGCAGCATCTCGTTAGGGGACCCCCCCGGGACCCTCGTGCCCCAGGGTCCACCTTGCGTCAGCCCCGGCCTCGCACAAGGGGTCACGTGACCCGCCCCGCAGGAGGGGCCCCAGGTGATGCCCCCCCATGAACACCCCTGTAAGCCCCAGATACCCTGGCCCTCCCTGGGCTCTGAGGGGGCTCAGGGGGGTCCTGGGGGCCCTCTGGAGGTGGGGGGTCGCTCTCCTGAATGCCGGAGTCCTGCGCCCCGGGCTGGAGCATCCCTGGATACCGGGGGTGGGATGGGGGGTTTTGGGGGTCTGAGGGTGCTGGTGGGAGGCGCGGGGTCTCGTGGGGGGGGGGTCAGGCCCGCGGATGCCTGGGTTCCTCTCCCACCCCCGCCCTGGATGGTCTCTTCCCTCGGCTGGGGCATCCCCGGCTACCGGGAGGGTTTTGGGGGGGCTCCAGGGGAGCTGATGGGATCTGGGGAGGTTGGGGGGGTTCCCATGACGGCGGGGGGTCACGCCTGGGTGTCCTCCCCTCTCCCGGACGCCTGGGCCCCTCCCCCTGGCTGGAGCATCCCTGGGAAGTCGGGGTGGGGGAGGGGGAATCGCGGTTTTGGGGGCCGGGGTGTTCGGAAGGGTTTTGGAGGGGGGGTCTCTGCGGGGCAGTGTCGCTCCGGGGGTCCAAGGGCGGAGACGGGCCCCACTCCGGCCGACCGGTCCTTCCCCTGGGCTGGAGCACCCGCGGGTACCGAGGCGGGTGGGGGGTCGGGGGGGGTCGGGGGCGTTGGTTTCAGGGGGGGCCCGAGAGTGCGGTGGGGGTCCGGGAGCCCTTACCGGGTCGGTACCGGCGCGTGCGGGCCCGGCGGCGGCGGCGGCGGCGGCTGCGGGCGTGGGAAGGCGGCGGCTGCGGGGGGGCCTGGGGGGGCCGGGCCGGACCCGCCCCCCCGGTGAGGGGGGACCCGGCGGGGCCCGAGGGAGGCCGGGCCGGGCCCACCCCCCGGTGCGGAGGGACCCGGGGCTGCGGGTGCGTGTGAGCGTGGGCCGGGGGTAGAATTCGGGAGGCGGTGCGTTGGCCCATCCCCGCCTCGGTTCCTGGGAAGGAGGTGTGCGGGGGGGGGGGGGGGCATTCACACCGGGACCCTCCTCCCTCACACGAGGGGTCCATCGTTCCCCGCTCGTGCCTTCGGTAAAGGAGGAGGGGCGAATTTGGAGGCCCCTGGGGGGAGAGGGGTGTTTCTATGGTGCTTTACAGCTGGGAGGTGGAGGGTCCTGCCACCAGGGCGGGCCAAGACCTAGGACACCCCCTGCCCCCGCTGCCCATGCTGAAACCTTTATTAGGTCACACCGTTCCCCCTCAGCCCCAACCACCCCTGCCCTAAGTGCCCCCAAAAAGGGCCCACAACTTCCTTCACCCCAGTCCAACTACTCCTCAGCCCCAACTACCCCCAACGGGGATCCCAATACCCTCCCACCCCCTCAACTGCCTCTAACCAACCCCTCCATGCCCTCCAATCCCCCATCCCAAATAAACATGCTCAGCACTGGGGCCACATCTTTATTGGGGGGAGGGAGGGGGGTCGGGAGGCCACAAGAGGGCCTGTGGGGTTGGGGCCCCATGGCCGGGGGGCGGCGTGAGGCCCCTCGCGCCAGAGGGGTCACTTGTAGAGGATGTCGTAGTGGCCGGGGCGGTAGAGGAGGCAGACGCGGGGCTGGGAGCCCTCGGGGAACACGTGCGGGTTCGTGGCGCCGCCCTCGCCCCGGTCCATGTATTCCACCAGGATGGAGACGTGCAGCGCCCGCGCCAGCGCGATGATGTGGATGTGGTCGCTCTCCTTGCACATGGGCTCCACTTCCTGCAGTGGGACAGGGGCTGTGTGGGTGTATGAGGGGCATGGGGGGGGGCTGGTGGGCACACGAGGGGGTGCGAGGCTGCACGACACCTCTCGGGGGCTGCGGGGAGCTGCTCGAGAGGATGAGGGGCAGCACGAGGGACCAGGGGGCCACGTGAGGGGCCGGGGAGCAGCACGAGGCTGGGCGCAGCCTGTGTGCGCGTGAGGGTGACCGACACCACGTGAGACCCTCCCCGGACCCCCAGAGTGGTGAGAAGGGCTCTGTGGGGCCCAAGCGGCGCTCACGTGAATATGTGTGAAGCTGGGAGGGGCCGCAGAAGGTGATGGGTGGCCCGTGCGAGGCCACGCGACACCCTGTGAACCCGGCGTGAGTCCTGCGCGAGCCCCACACAGCCCGCGTGAGCCCCAGGAGCCCACACGAGCCCCTTATGAGGTGTGAGCTCTCTGAGCCCTGTGGGCCCCAAACCTGCTGGCAGAACTCCCGTGTGCCCCGTGCCAGCCCTGTGTGCCCCCTGTGCCCCCAACCTGCTGGCAGAACTCCTGCGTGACCCATGTGCCCCTGCCATGGCCACAGAACTCCCAGGTGCCCCGTGCCAGCCCCGCCTGCACCTAATATGATGACAGAAGTCTTGTGTGCCTCGCATGCCCCACACCTGCTGGAAGAACTCCTGTGTGCCCCCTGTGCCCCATACCTGCTGGCAGAATTCCCATGTGCCCCTGCTGTACTAACAGAACTGTCACGTGCCCCGTGCAAGCTCCACGTGCCCTGCATGCCCTGATGTGATGACAGAACTCCCGTGTACCCCACGTGCCCCATACCTGTTGGCAGAGCTCCTGTGTGTCCCCTGTGCCCCTGCTATGGTGACAACTCCTGTGTGCCCCATGCCAGCCCTGTGTGCCCTAAGGGCACGTGTGTGCCCCTGAAGCGATGACAGAAGTCCCGTGTGCCCCACGTGCCCTGTACCTGCTGGCAGAACTCCTTGATGCTGCGGCCACCCTCGAGGAACTGCTCGAAGAAGCGGCGGTGGCGCTGGAGGCAGCCCGAGGTGAGCAGCCGCAGGTAAACCACCAGGTAGTCCGAGGTCGCCGGCTCGTTGAAGGCCGCCAGCAGCTCCGGCAGCGGCACACGGCGCTCCACGCGCTCGATCAGCTCCATCAGCTGCGCAGGGAAAGCACAGGCGTGTTTGGGGCACGCACACGTGTGTCACAGGGACACGCACCCAGGTCGGGGGTACGCATCCATGAGGGACACACACACGACACACGTGTGTCAGATGCGTGCACGTGTGTTGGGGACACACACAAGGGCGCATGCCAGGTCACAGGGACCCCCACCCCCCGTGTGCTCCCGGCAGTCCTCGATGGCAGACTCAGTGAAGCCCCGTGCCCCTTTGCCCCCCACATTCCTGGTGCCCCCCAAGCCCCCGTGCCCACCGTGTTATGGAAGTCCTCGATGGTGAACTCAGTGAAGCCCTGCGCCACCAGCTCCTCCTTGCTGCGCGCTGACACCTCCTTGAACCTGGGGGGACATCGGGGGGCCCAGGGGGGCTTAGGGGGGACCCAAAGGGGTTTGGGATGTCCAGGGGGGCGCTCGAGGGGTCTTGGGGGGGCCCAGAGGGGACTAAATCATTGGGGAGGAGGAACCCAGAGGTTGGGGGGGGGCAAGGGTCCAAGGGAGCTAAGGGGGTAGGGAGCCAGGGGTCCGAGTGGGAGCATCGGTGCTGCAGGGTCCTCATGAGGGTACAGGGCTGCCTGGGGAGGCTCTGGGAGTGCTATGGAGGATCCGGGGGTGCCGCGGGAATAGGATGGGGGGACTCTGGGGGTTCCCAGGGTGTCCCTGGGGGGACTCCAGGGGGCTCTGGGGATCCGCACCGCTGCAGCTCCTGCCCGTCCTCCAGCAGAGCCTCCAGGTGGGCGAAGCCGAAGGCGCGGTAGAAACAATTCCCGTCTGGACGTGTCTTCCGGATGTAGGAATATTTCTGGAGCAGGTCCTGGGAGGCAGAGGGGGCGTGGGGACACTGTGGGGGCGGGGAGACACCCCCTGGGACATCTGGGCTGCTTCCAGTCCTGTGCTGGTGTCCCAGAGCGGCTCCCAGTCCCATAGTGGTACTATTCCCAGTACCACACTGGTGTCCCAGTGCCTCCCAGTATCTCCCAGTGGCTCCCAGTGCTGCACCTTGATCTTCTCCTGGTACACATGGTCATCCTCGGCGTACTCCTTGTAGAGCTCTGAGAGCTCCAGGCGCTCTGACACCAGTGGGTTCTGCACCGCAATCTAGGGGGCAAGACTGGAGGGGATCAGGGACTGGGGGAGGACTGGGGACCCCCACGGGGGGTTGGGGAGGTTTGAAGACCTCCGTGGGGGTTTCGGGGCAGACTCTGAGGGGGTTTAAGGGAGGGTTTTGTGAGGAGTTCTGAGGGGTCGGGGGTTTCCTCACCTCCTGCTGGATCCGGTCCTGCTGCGCCATGATCGCCTCGTCGTAGGCCAGGCAGTTCACGCCTACGGGGATATGAGGGGTCAGCGGGGGCCCAGAGCGGCTCCACAGCTCCCCAGGGGGGTCTGGGGAGCGGGGACGCCTCCCGAGTGGGTCCTGGGGATAAGGCGGGGGCCGTCGGGAGCCCGGAGAGGGATGGAGGGAGTCTTGGGGGTGCTGGGAGGGGGGGTTAGGGGGTATTGGGGCATCGCGGTGGGCGGGGGGGGGGGGGAGGCTATTGAGGCCCCCGGGGGGAGCGGGGAGATCCCGGGTCGGGGGTCCCGGGCTGCAAGACCGGGGGGCGGAGGGGGCCCCGGAGAGGCCTGTCGGTACCGTCCGCGTCGCTGCCGCCGAGCGGCTCCGGCTGCGGCTGCTGAGGCTCCTCCGCCGCCATCGCCGCCCTGACCGCGCCGCTTCCGGGGCACCGCCCGCCGCTTCCGGGGCACCTGCCGCGCCGCTTCCGGGGCACCGCCCGCCGCTCCCGGGCCGCCGCCGCTACGCCCGGCACTGGCAACAGGCTCCGCCCACGGAGGCGGCCCGGGAGCCGCGTGGCTCCGCCCCTGCAAGCAGGCCCCGCCCCGCGGCGGAGGCCGGGCCCGTCAGGGAGCGCACCCGGCCCAGTTGTGGGTGACGCAAGTGCCCCTCAATTTGGGAGGTACAACGGAAATTTTGGCAGTTTTGCCCCTCGAGAGGGAAGCGCGGAGCCCCGGGCTCTGAGGGGCGGGTGATGGGCTGCCCAGGGCAGGTGTTAACCAGAAAGACCTTCCTGTCCTGTCCTGGCACCTTTGGTTTGGCAATGATCTTAGGACTCATTAAATTTTGGAGTCAAGGAGTGGTACTGGGAGCGGTGGGACGAACTGGGAGCACTGCGGGGGGGGGGGAGCGTCCGAAGTTTCGCTGAATTTTACGGCAGTGTGGCAGGTGCGGCTGCTCGACAGCGGTGCTTTACGGCTGCTCGACAGCGGTGCTTTACGGCAGAGTGGCGCGCGCTGCGCTGGCAGCGTTTCCCGGGCAACAAAAATAAAACCTTGGAGTTTCTCCCACCCTGGATCGGGGCAGCGACTCTTTTCCCTCGGATTCCCACCTCTCGCGCGTTGTTCCCTCCTTAGGTGGGAACGACGAGGGTGAGGAGCGGGCCTCGGAGGGCAGAGGGGAGCGGCCGGAGGGGCAATCCCCGGGGGGGGGTGGTCTCTCAAAGAACGATGGTGGGAGCACCTTGCAGGGGCTGGGGAGCTCCTGGATGCACCTGGAAATGGAGCTTTGCTCGAGGAAGGTGCCAAGGAACAAGATCTGTGCTGAGGGGCAGCGCAGGCGAGGGGACCAGCAGCTGAGCAGGAGAGGCAGCGCGGGGGGCGGAGGGAAAGGCTGTCTCCTTCCAATTCCATCTTCCCAGGGGTCCTAGTCCCTCCCCCGTGCCTTCAGTGACTGCTGAAAGAAGGGGGGGGGGAAAGGGGTTTAAATTGCGGAAAAAGGCATTTGCCAATATTGTCTGTGTTTAAATCCAAGGGGAAATCGCTCGAATTGTGATTTTAAGGATATCACCTGAAAGCAAATAGACTTGTTCTAAGATTTTAGGGGTTTCATTGATGCAAAACCCCCATTTTCTGTTAGTTTTGGGTTTAAATGGAACGGGAAAACATTTACGGTGCAATTTTCTGCGTTTGAGGTGAGGGCAATCCCCACATTTTAATCATCTTAAAGTTTAAACTGAAGAGGAGTCCCTGTTGTCCTACATTTTTAAGAACTTAGGGAGGAGACTCTTTATGTGCCATTTGAGGGGCTGTGGGTGATGGGGGGGTTTAGGAGGAGGAGGAGATGAAGTTTCTTGGGGGGGGACTTGGACCCCTGCAAGTGAACGACAGGCTCTTGCGGTGCACGTAGTGTCGAGTGGCGCAACAGCTGCCCTTGAGACGGAGGGTCAGGACTTTCTTTCCTGCGTGGAAGGGCAGTCGTTCGCCGGCACGCGCGCCCCGCTGCGAGGGGCCGTCCCGCGGCCAAAATTCAATACGGATGAAGATTCCTCCAGGACCAAAAGTGCCTGTCCAGAAAGCGCTTGCTGTGCACCTAGTGCCGAGAGCGGCGCACCAATGGAACACCAGAGACAGAGCACCAACCCCCCCCGCCGCTCCAGCCCAGTCCGAGCCGCTCCAGCCCAGTCCGAGCCGCTCCAGCCCAGTCCGAGCCGCCCCAGCCCACTCCGAGCCGCTCCATCCCACTCCGAGCCGCTCCATCCCGCTCCAGCCCAGTCCGAGCCGCTCCATCCCGCTCCGAGCCGCTCCAGCCCATTCCGAGCCGCCCCCGGCCAGTCCGAGCCGCCCCAGCCCAGTCCGAGCCGCTCCCTCCCGTCCCGAGCCGCTCCAGCCCATTCAGAGCCGCTCCCGCCCAGTCCGAGCCGCCCCAGCCCAGTCCGAGCCGCCCCAGCCCAGTCCGAGCCGCTCCATCCCAGTCCGAGCCGCTCTATCCCGCTCCGAGCCCCCCCAGCCCATTCCGAGCCCCCCCCCCAGCCCATTCCGAGCCGCTCCATCCTGTTCCGAGCCGCCCCAGCCCATTCCGAGCCGCTCCATCCCGCCCCGAGCCGCCCCAGCCGCCCCGAGCCATCCCCCGGCGCAGGGCGAGGCTGCTCCAGGCAGGGAGAGGCGCCTGCCAGGAAGGGCAGGAACACAGCCCGTGTGTCCCGGGCAGGGAGGGGGGCTCTGGACACAACGCCAGGCACTGGGGGAGACCTTTTGCCCCGGGGATTCCTACCCTCTGCGAGCGGAGGAGCTGCGCAGGGAGGGGACTTCACGTTAATTGTGGAAGTAAGACCTGCTGTGGCGTTGCTGGGCTCCGAAAGCAACCGCCACCCTTGGCCCGAGGAAAGAAAGGCTCCAGCCTTGGGGAGTCGGGTGCAGTTTCAGCGCAGGGCTGGGGCAAGCTAACAAAACCCTTTCCACACACACAGAAAGTTTTCCCACCTGCACCTGACACCCAGCACCTACAGGCTTTCGGTCATGAAGGGAAGGGCTCTCATTTTCTTACAAGTCACAATCCCAAATACAAATTCCAATACTAAATCCAATACCAACTGTAATACCTCTTGTCATTAAGAGTCCTTTTCTCCATCAGGCTCTTCACTCATCCTGATTTTAAGTCAGAGATGCCACACAGGTGCTGCTGCTCCCAGAGCCTTTATACCTTCTGAGATTGGGCTGCCCCCTTTGCCCAGGGCCTCACAGGAAGGGAGGTGGGCACGGCCAGGGGTACATTATCCCAGCCTTTGCTCAGGGAGGGCACGCAGCAGCCGGGCTTCAATGGGATAAGAGCTCTCCCTTTCTTTCATTTAATGGGACTGCTCAAGCTATTCCTGCTTTATTGAAGCATCAGCTTTGGCATCCAAAGAAGCAGAGCTGTAGATGGCAATGAAGAGGATTACACTCACATGCAGGGGTTTTAAATTTAATAATTTTGTGTGCTGTGTTGGTAAGGTGCTTTTGTAATTTTTTATCTTTTTTTCTTTTCCTTAGGAGCCTTGCATCTTTTGGGATCTCCTGCTCATCTCACCTGCAGCTTGACATTTTTTCACAAGTGTGATCCGGTCCCAAGGTGAAGCTGCTGACATCAGCACAAAGATGTGGCTTTTGGCTCCACGTTTACTCGCAGTGTTAAGGATTTAGTTGTTCTGGTTTGTTTTTTCTTTGTTTTCAGCTGCAGAGCCCTGGCCCCAGGAGGCTCTAGGCACCGGAGGGGAGGTGATCCAGGTGAGTCCCGGTGAGCAAGGTGAGCATTGACTCCAGGACTGGACTAGATGGTCTTTTACAGGTGTTGTGGTGAATCTGTGCACATGCTTTGTTTCTTGTGTTTTCCAGGGGTTCTGCCACCTTCTCACAGACAGTCCAGTGCTTCAGGGCCCCTGCTGGTAAGAGGTCACTGTGGAGGAGAGGTAGGTAGGAGCTCCCCCAGGAAAGCCATCCTTTCAGGCAGTACCTCAGTCTGTACCTTTGCCTTTGGCTTCTTTACTTTGCAGAGAATGTGTGCAGCCTCAGAGGGCTGGAGCCACCTGCCAGTTAGGTGTGATGGTCTTCAGCTGTCCTTGTGAGTAATCTCCTAGTACTACCAGGGTCATCAACTAAGGCTCGACCTTTCCCAGCTGCAGGTGCCAAAAGCCACATCTCCATGCTGCCATCAGGTGATGACCCACCTTCCTGCTCTGCTCCTCTGGCCTCTGTTCTGTTCAACTCTGCTCAAAGAAATGAGTTAGCAAGGTCAGCCACGTACCCCTCCCGTGGTCTCAGGAAAAGCCCGTTCTCGTGACTGCACACACACTGCAGGCAGGGGCTGCCTCCAGGAGAACTGCTGCCCTGAGACCTGAGCCCATCACAGGGGAACTGAGAGTCTCCTTCCTACTCCACCTACCCCCAAGTCTACACTGCAGGGCAGAGCAGTTCCAGGCCCAACACAAACTCCAAGGACACATTTCCAGACAAGGGCTGTGGTGCAACGAGGAGAGAGAACTCTGAGAGAGGAACGACGCCAAAACGGATGTGCTGCCGCACGAGAAGACGGAGGATACGGCGAGACTGAACGGAGGAGGCTCTGAGGAGCCTGAAAAGACACTCTAACAGAATGGCCTGGGACAAGAATTGCCCACAAAATTGCTGAGATGGATGGGAGACAAGGCTATGCTCAGAATCTTCTTAGATTCTCACAAGTCCCAGGTGGGATGACAAGGGATGACTGCACGGCACAGCCACCGATACAACCTGTGAGGAGGCTGTAAAAGACACCTGACCTGACACTTCTCAGATGTGATTCCGATGCACGTCCAAGCTAGTGAGCCAAAGAACGGATGGTATGGGCACTGAGCTGGGCAGTGCAGAGGTTCAAGACCCTAGGAATGATGCCTTGGCATCTCAGATAAGACCTTGGAGGGCAGGAAGCAAAGACACCCTGACTGTGAAGTGTAAGACACGAAACACAGACCGGACAAAGGACACGACACAGACCTGAACTGCTCTGCCCTGCACATCCTACTCCATGATGAAAAGTAAACTGCTCCTCCTATGTGTGCCAAGGGCCTGTTAGGGCAGACCCTTTCCCCTCTGCTCATTTGACAATCCCTCCCTCCTAACCATAAAACTGGACCCAGCTCCCATCCCCTCTCCAGGTGGGAGCCCTCCACTTATCTTTCCCACAGCTGGGGATGTGAATCCATCTTCGATGCCAAGGAAGGACGCCCGGCTGGCTCAGAGGGTCCTGTGATCCCTGACTCGGTCGCTGGGAGAAAGAAAACAGAAACTGAGACAAGAGTTGGGCAGCACGTGGGAGATAACCCTGCAATTGGCTACTCACCCTCCCCTGAGCTGAGAGGTTCTCGGGCCACTGGCTCCGACCCCAGTCGGAGGCTGCTGCCATCACCGTGTGCCGTACCTGGGGGAGTGAGAAAAAAAGTTACGGGGTGTTTCTGAAAGTAAGGGAGACCCCAGCACCTCCTCCCCACCTCCCTGACTCAACCTCAGTGCTCCTCCTTTCCAAAGGCAGGCTGGATGGCACCTGCAGCTGGGAAAGCTCCAGCCTTAATTGATGACCCTGGTAGTACTAAGAGATTACTCACAAGGACAGCTGAAGACCATCACACCTAACTGGCAGGTGGCTCCAGCCCTCTGAGGCTGCACACATTCTCTGCAAAGTAAAGAAGCCAAAGGCAAAGGTACAGACTGAGATACTGCTTGAAAGGATGGTTTTCCTGGGGGAGCTCCTACCTACCTCTCCTCCACAGTGACCTCTCACCAGCAGGGGCCCTGAAGCACTGGACTGTCTGTGAGAAGGTGGCAGAACCCCTGGAAAACACAAGAAACAAAGCACGTGCACAGATTCACCACAACACCTGTAAAAGACCATCCAGTTCTGTCCTGGAGTCAATGCTCACCTTGCTCACTGGGACTCACCTGGATCACCTCCCCTCCGGTGCCTAGAGCCTCCTGGGACCAGGGCTCTGCAGCTGAAAACAAAAAGCAAAACAAGAAAATGCTTAACACAGTGAGTAAACGTGGAGCCAGAAGCCACATCTTTGTGCTGCCATCAGGTGATGACCCACCTTCTTGCTCTGCTCCTCTGGCCTCTGTTCTGTTCAAACTCTGCTTTACACCCTGTCCCCCTGACATGGTAAAGAAACCCTAACCAAAGTCTCCCAGATAGAGGGGGAGAGCTCCAAGAGTCTCCCTTCTCTTTAGGCAAACCCCCCAGGGTCACTGCCTGCAGCCAAAGACTGCAGCTGTAATTGCACAGAATATCTGGGGGAAGGAGAGGAAAACTTAAGTGGCACATCTGAAAAGTCAGTGGGTGCCTTCACAGGCATTTAGGGGGCTCCTGGACACTGCTTTCCACCCATCCTACCTTCAAAACACCCCTGGCAATTCTTAACCTGGCACCCCAGCCCTTCCTCCTTCTCTGGGCTGTAACCCCCCACTGACTACTTGCACACCTGGGTGTCTGTAGCATCTTCAACACAGAGCAGCTTCACCTGAGGACTGGATCACACTGGTGAAAAAATGCCAAGGTGCAGTCGAGATGATCAGGAGATCCCAAAAGATGCAAGGCTCCTAAGGAAAAGAAAAAAAAAATAAAAGCAGTTTACCAATACGAAGTTATTAAATTTAAAACCCCTGCATTTGAGTGTAATCCTCTTCATTGCCATCTACAGCTCTGCTTCTTTGGATGCCAAAGCTGATGCTTCAATAAAGCAGGAATAACTTAAGAAGTCCCATTAAATGAAAGAAAGGGAGAGCTCTTATCCCATTGAAGCCCCGCTGCTGGATGAGCTCACTGCACACGACTGCACCTGAGCTAGGGACCCCTGAGCTATGGGCCCCTGAGTTAGGGACCCCCGAGCTAGGGACCCCTGAGTTAGGGACCCCTGAGTTAGGGACCCCAGAGCTAGGGACCCCAGAGCTATGGGCCCCTGAGTTAGGGACCCCTGAGCTAGGGACCCCAGAGCTAGGGACCCCTGCTCCATCCGGCAGGACCGTACAGCCATGGGCTCGAGTGCCTGAGGGAACTGACATGTTGATGTCAGACTCTGAGCAATATTCCATCTACCCACTGAGCCACGGAGCAGGGCAGAGCAGGTCCAGGCTGACCCCAAGTGACACACCCCACACCTGTGACCACACACACCACGTGACACAGAACACGGAGCAGACAAAGGACATGACACAGACTGGAACTGCTCTGCCCTGCACACGGGAATCCCATGATAAAAAAAAAGCCCTTCCTTTGATGTGTCCAAATAACCTGTCCCAGGATACCCCCTGCACCAGACTAATTGCAAAAATCCCTCCAGGTGAGGCACACACTTGCACCCACTCCCAACCCCTCTCTGGGTCTTTGCCCTGCACTTATCTTGCCGAGAGCAGGGGATGCCAATCCATCTTGGATGCACAGGAGGGGCACCAGGGCTGCCTCAGAGGTTCCTGCCATCGTCACACTACTCGGAGTCAGCTGTGAGAAAGAAAACCAGACACCAGATCTGAGGAGTGTGGCACCAGGCCCCAGCCCCCACGATCCCTCTACTCACTGTCACCCAGGCAGGTCCTTGGGTCGCTGACTCTGACCAGACTTGGACAACGTGCTGTCATCTTCTGGGATACCAGAGAGAGAGAGAGAGACAAAATTAGAGGGCATCTCTAAAGCTGCAGGGGATCCCCGCTCCTCCTGCTGCCTCCCCAACTCACCTACAAGGCTCCTCTCTCTTCAGCTGCTCCCAAGACCACCCCTGCAAATGAAATGGGCAAAAGCTCAAACACTCAGCTCTCAAACATTTAGGGATTGCTCACAGGGAAAGCCAAAAACCTCTAAACCCTAGACACTGCTTCCTACTCCACCTAGCCAGGACTCTATACACCCAAGCACGGCATCACAAGACCATCCTGCTCACAGACTGGACAGCCATCGGCTCCACTGTCTAAGGGAACTGACATGCTGACCTGAGACTCGGAGCCACATTCCATCTACCCACTGATCCACGGAGCAGGGCAGAGCAGGTCCAGGCTGACCCCAAGTGACACACCCCACACCTGTGACCACACACACCACGTGACACCGAACACGGAGCAGACAAAGGACATGACACAGACTGGAACTGCTCTGCCCTGCACACGGGAATCCCATGATAAAAAAAAAGCCCTTCCTTTGATGTGTCCAAATAACCTGTCCCAGGATACCCACTGCACCAGACTAATTGCAAAAATCCCTCCAGGTGAGGCACACACTTGCACCCACTCCCAACCCCTCTCTGGGTCTTTGCCCTGCACTTATCTTGCCGAGAGCAGGGAATGCCAATCCATCTTGGATGCACAGGAGGGGCACCTGGGCTGCCTCAGAGGTTCCTGCCATCGTCACACTACTCGGAGTCAGCTGTGAGAAAGAAAACCAGACATCAGATCTGAGTAGTGTGGCACGAGGCCCCAGCCCCCACGATCCCTCTACTCACTGTCACCCAGGCAGGTCCTTGGGTCGCTGACTCTGACCAGACTTGGACAACGTGCGGTCATCTTCTGGGATACCTGAGAGAGAGAGAGAGAGAGAGAGAGAGACAAAATTAGAGGGCATCTCTAAAGCTGCAGTGCATCCCCGCTCCTCCTGCTGCCTCCCCAACTCACCTACAAGGCTCCTCTCTCTTCAGCTGCTCCCAACACCGCCCCTGCAAATGAAATGGGCAAATGCTCAAACACTCAGCTCTCAAACATTCAGGGATTGCTCACAACAAAAGCCAAAAACCTCCAAACCCTACACACTCTCTGCTACTCTACCTAGCCGGGACTCTAGACACCCAAGCAGGGCATCGCAAGACCATCCTGCTCACAGACTGGACAGCCATCGGCTCCACTGTCTAAGGGAACTGACGTTGATGTCAGACTCTGAGCAATATTCTATCTACCCACTGATCCACGGAGCAGGGCAGAGCAGGTCCAGGCTGACCCCAAGTGACACACCCCACACCCGTGACCACACACACCACGTGACACCAAAACACGCACGAGACAAAGGATGTGACACACACCAGAACTGCTCTGCCCTGCACACGGGAATCCAATGATAAAAAGTAAGCCCTTCCTTTGATGTCTCCAAATAACCTGTTCCAGGATACCCCCTGCACCGGACTCATTGCAAAAATCCCTCCAGGTGAGGCACACACTTGCACCCACTCCCAACCCCTCTCTGGGCCTTTGCCCTGAACTTATCTTGCCGAGAGCAGGGGATGCCAATCCAGCTTTGATGCACAGGAGGAGCACCAGGGCTGCCTCAGAGGTTCCTGCCATCATCAGACTACTCAGAGTCAACTGCAAGAAAGAAAACCACAAGCAATACCTGAGTTGTGTGGCATGGGGCTCAAACCCCAGTGATCCCTCTACTCACCAGCACCCAGGCCCTGACCGGAGTCGGACACTGTGGATGTCACGTTCCAGGATACCTGGGTGAGTGAGACACAAACTTAGAAGGCATCTCTAAAGTTGCAGGGGATCCCCGCTCCTCCTGCTGCCTCCCCAACTCACCTACAAGGCTCCTCTCTCTTCAGCTGCTCCCAACACCCCCCCTGCAAATGAAATGGGCAAATGCTCAAACACTCAGCTCTCAAACATTCAGGGATTATTGCTCACAAGGAAAGCTAAAAACCTCTAAACCCTAGACACTGGTTCCTACTCTACCCAGTCAGGACTCCATACACCCCAGCAGGGCAGCGCAAGACCATCCTGCTCACAGACTGGACAGCCATCGGCTCCACTGTCTAAGGGAACTGACATGTTGATGTCAGACTCGGAGCAATATTCCATCTACCCACTGATCCACGGAGCAGGGCAGAGCAGGTCCAGGCTGACCCCAAGTGACACACCCCACACCTGTGACCACACACACCATGTGAAACAATTAAGAGACGAAGGACACAACACATGGACGAGACAAAGGACATGACAGAGACTGGAACTGCTTTGCCCTGCACACGTGAATCCAATGATAAAAAGTAAGCCCTTCCTTTGATGCGTCCAAATAACCTGTCACAGGATACCCCGTGCACCAGACTAATTGCAAAAATCCCTCCAGGCCAGGCACACACTTGCAACCCCTCCCAACCCCTCTCTGGGTCTTTGCCCTGCACTTATCTTGCCAAAAGCAAGGGATGCCAATCCATCTTTGATGCACAGGAGGAGCACCAAGGCTTGTTCAGAGGTTCCTGCCATCGTCAGACAACTAGGAGTCAGCTGTGAGAAAGAAAACCATAATCAATACGTCAGTTGTGTAGCATGGGGCTCAAACCCCAGTGATCCCCCTACTCAGCAGCACCCAGGCCCTACAAATGAAATGGGCAAATGCTCAAACACTCAGCTCTCAAACATTCAGGGATTGCTCACAACAAAAGCCAAAAACCTCTAAACCCTAGACACTGGTTCCTACTCTACCCAGCCAGGACTCCATACACCCCAGCAGGGCAGCGCAAGACCATCCTGCTCACACACTGGACAGCCATCGGCTCCACTGTCTAAGGGAACTGACATGCTGACCTGAGACTCGGAGCCACATTCCATCTACCCACTGATCCACGGAGCAGGGCAGAGCAGGTCCAGGCTGACCCCAAGTGACACACCCCACACCTGTGACCACACACACCACGTGACACAGAACACGGAGCAGACAAAGGACATGACACAGACTGGAACTGCTCTGCCCTGCACACGGGAATCCCATGATAAAAAAAAAGCCCTTCCTTTGATGTGTCCAA